AGTTGCGTCCAGACTGAGGAGAAATCCGCACACAATGCATCCCTGACCACCTCCTGAAGTGGTCAGACAGATCTGAACACAATCAGACCACAAAGTGACTTTTGTGCGTCTAAACTGATTTTGGATCAGTTTAGCTTTTTACATCACAATGAATAAGATTACATGGACATGGGGGAACCTGATCCTAGATCAGCGCTCTTACTCAGACGCTTGATACAGCCCCAGGTCCCCCAGTCCATTCATTATAACCTAAAAGGCTAAACTGATCCTAGATCAGCACTCCTACCCTAAGACACTTTATGATTATGGCCCTGATGTGATGTTGACTAATCAATATATCAGAGAACATTCTAGAAATGTTATCACTCTGCAATCTGATGCAAGTTTGATGCAAATCTAGATTAGCAAACAACCAGGTAACTCCCCCTGTAATATGAGCCATATAAGTGGCACTGACTGGCACCTATGCCATAAAGATAAACAAACATGCCTGCTCAGCTTGACCTTCTGGAATGCATGCATCTCTTTATCAACTACGTTAGACTATGTGGTCATCTGTCTCACTAAACTGGCATTGTTCTACTAGCCTGGTCCCAGATCAGTTTGTGCTGTCTTGCCAACTCCTATGGTCATTGTCACAAGACAGCACAAACAGATCTGGGACCAGGCTACTTATCTCCTGGTTTAGGGGTCAGTCTGTGACTAGGCCTACTGGTCAGCAGCTCTGGTGGTCTAGGTCTGGCATGACATCATCCCTCTGACCACCTCTGGGGAGAAAAAAAAACACCCTATTGTCAGGCAGGCCATGGGTCACTTGTTGCAACACATTACGACACATAAACAATGTAACCTCTCTAGCTCAAACAGGCAGTTTCTCCTACTCTATATTTGAAACATTATTTGCACATTAAGTGCAATAAGTCAGTGAACTACAGTGGCAGTGAACTACAGTGAACCAGTACCTTCAACCAGGGCTCGAATTGAGGGGGTATATGGGGGTATGCCTTATCCCTTGTTAAAGAAAATGGCAAAAAGCATACCCCCTTTTAGCTTAAGATTTTGAAGGGGGAAAAAGGTATCCCTTTTATAAGCGTTATAAAAATAACGCTTACCTCTGTAATGCTTTAGGCTTGAAACAAGCAGTAACTTTCAAGAGAAAGGCGTGATTCTGATGCACATGGGGATATCTTTGGTTCAAGGACTCAAAGCAAAGGAGAAATCGACTTTTCTTGGGAAGTAATCTAATGTGTGACTCTGTCGGCATCTATTGACCTAATCGCTTTCTGAAAAATATGTTTAACTAAATTGATACTTGATGGTTCATGTTAATTTCAAGATTATAACATATCTGTTAGCAAAATAACACTTGTGAAAACAGTCTAGACATGTTTCCCCCTATCCTTATTATCATGAAATGGCCTACCCAAAATATGTCATGAGTCATGTTACAAAAGCCTACTTAGAATTGCAGGAAATTAGCTTTAAAACCACAACATTTTATTTTATTTTTTATTTTTAAACTTATTTGGTCTTTCACAATAGCTTGTCAGTATAACAATTATAATTCATCACAATGGGCTAAATATACAGTGAGGGAAAAAAGTATTTGTTCCCCTGCTGATTTTGTACGTTTTCCCACTGACAAAGAAATGATCAGTCTATAATTTTAATGGTAGGTTTATTTGAACAGCGAGCGACAGAATAACAACAAAATAAATCCAGAAAAACGCATGTCAAAAATGTTATAAATTAATTTGCATTTTAATGAGGGAAATAAGTATTTGACCCCCTCTCAATCAGAAAGATTTCTGGCTCCCAGGTGTCTTTTATACGGGTAACGAGCTGAGATTAGGAGCACACTCTTAAAGGGAGTGCTCCTAATCTCAGCTTGTTACCTGTATAAAAAACACCTGTCCACAGAAGCAATCAATCAATCAGATTCCAAACTCTCCACCATGGCCAAGACCAAAGAGCTCTCCAAGGATGTCAGGGACAAGATTGTAGACCTACACAAGGCTGGAATGGGCTAAAAGACCATTGCCAAGCAGCTTGGTGAGAAGGTGACAACAGTTGGTGTGATTATTCGCAAATGGAAGAAACACAAAAGAACTGTCAATCTCCCTCGGCCTGGGGTTCCATGCAAGATCTCACCTCGTGGAGTTGCAATTATCATGAGAACGGTGAGGAATCAGCCCAGAACTACACGGGAGGATCTTGTCAATGATCTCAAGGCAGCTGGGACCATAGTCACCAAGAAAACAATTGGTAACACACTACGCCGTGAAGGACTGCAATCCTGCAGCGCCCGCAAGGTCCCCCTGCTCAAGAAAGCACATATACATGCCCGTCTGAAGTTTGCCAATGAACATCTGAATGATTCAGAGGAGAACTGGGTGAAAGTGTTGTGGTCAGATGAGACCAAAATCGAGCTCCCAAGAACACCATCCCCACCGTCAAACATGGAGGTGGAAACATTATGCTTTGGGGGTGTTTTTCTGCTAAGGGGACAGGACAACTTCACACATCAAAGGGACGATGGACGGGCCATGTACCGTCAAATCGTGGGTGAGAACCTCCTATCCCTCAGCCAGGGCATTGAAAATGGGTCGTGGATGGGTATTCCAGCATGACAATGACCCAAAACACACGGCCAAGGCAACAAAGGAGTGGCTCAAGAAGAAGCACATTAAGGTCCTAGAATGGCCTAGCCAGTCTCCAGACCTTAATCCCATAGAAAATCTGTGGAGGGAGCTGAAGGTTCGAGTTGCCAAACGTCAGCCTCGAAACCTTAATGACTTGGAGAAGATCTGCAAAGAGGAGTGGAACAAAATCCCTCCTGAGATGTGTGCAAACCTGGTGGCCAACTACAAGAAACGTCTGACCTCTGTGATTGCCAACAAGGGTTTTGCCACCAAGTACTAAGTCTTGCAGAGGGGTCAAATACTTATTTCCCTCATTAAAATGCAAATCAATTTATAATATTTTTGACATGTGTTTTTCTGGATTTTTTTGTTGTTATTCTGTCTCTCACAGTTCAAATAAACCTACCATTAAAATTATAGACTGATCATGTCTTTGTCAGTGGGCAAATGTACAAAATCAGCAGGGGATCAAATACTTTTTTCCCTCACAGTAGGTTGGAGTTTTTAAAACTAGTTTTTCAATCACTCCACACATTTCTTGTTAACAAACTATAGTTTTGGCAAGTCGGTTAGGACATCTACTTTGTGCATGACACAAGTAATTTTTCCAACAATTGTTTACAGACAGATTATTTCACTTATAATTCACTGTATCACAATTCCAGTGGGTCAGAAGTTTACATACACTATGTTGACTGTGCCTTTAAACAGCTTGGAAAATTCCAGAAAATGATGCCATGGCTTTAGAAGCTTCTGATAGGCTAATTGACATAATTTGAGTCAATTGGAGGTGTACCTGTGGATGTATTTCAAGGCCTACCTTCAAACTCAGTGCCTCTTTTCATGACATCATGGGAAAATCAAAAGAAATCAGCCAAGACCTCAGAAAGAAATGTGTAGACCTCCACAAGTCTGGTTCATCTTTAGGAGCAATTTCCTGAACGCCTGAAGGTACCACGTTCGTCTGTACAAACAATAGTATGCAAGTATAAACGCCATGGGACCATGCTGCCGTCATACCGCTCAGGAAGGAGACGCGTTCTGTCTCCTAGAGATGAACGTACTTTGGTGCGAAAAGTGCAAATCAATCCCAGTGGCCATCACAAAGCCCTGACCTCAATCCTATAGAAAATGTGTGGGCAGAACTGAAAAAGCGTGTGCGAGCAAGGAGCCCTACAAACCTGACTCAGTTACACCAGCTCTGTCAGGAGGAATGGGCCAAAATTCACCCAACTTATTGTGAGAAGCTTGTGGAAGGCTACCTGAAACGTTTGACCCAAGTTAAACAATTTAAAGGCAATGCTACCAAATACTAATTGAGTGTATGTAAACTTCTGGCCCACTGGGAATGTGATTAAATAAATAAAAGGTGAAATAAAACATTCTCTACTATTATTCTGACATTTCACATTCTTAAAATAAAGTGGTGATCCTAACTGACCTAAGACAGGGAAGTTTTACTAGGATTAAATGTCAGGAATTGTGAAAAACTGAGTTTAAATGTAGTTGGCTAAGTTGTATGTGAACTTCCGACTTCAACTGTATATATGATTTGTGAAGCATTTATGTAGTGCTTATTAAGTATTTATGTATGCTAAACTTTGTAAGTTGTACTTAATTTAAAGTGGGACTGAAAATTGCTTACTTCCTGCATTGACCCCAACCTTGCCAAATATGTCCATAATGTATTTGTTCTATGTTAACTATGGGTTTTTAGAAGGGAGAACTGATCAAATACCATAGATTCCACCATAGTTGATCAATATTATTTAGTTTAAGGGTACCTTCTGTCTTGTATGTCAGCAATAATGTAAGATGGGTACCGTAACTGAAGGCTACACAGTAGAAGATTATAGTTGGACCATTTCACTCCATAGCACCACCTAGTGTAGATATATAGAGTTTATGCCTACACAGTTCAGGGACGTAACATGACTTAACAGAGGAAATACAGCATGTGCATATGCCTCATTCAAACACAGAAGACAGGAAGATAGCGTAGAATCTACATTTACATTTTAGTCATTTACTCTTGCATTTTGATACATTCACATAAGGCAGGAAATGTTTTGCTTCACTGCTGCTGTAGGATATAGTGACACAACCCCCTCATAAGACTTGCAGACTCGTATCTGTCTCTGAATAACATACAACTTTCATTCTCATTCTACATGACATTGAAAAGCTCTCAGCATTTGTATTTTTAAGTAATAATCACTGTCCTTTTTGAGAGGTTTTGGAATTGACTTTCCACTGATTTGACTGTTTTATCTCTGTAGTCATCACACAATCCAGAGGACAACATTCACTATGTGTAAGAATTAGAACAACTTGATATGGAAGTTATAGTGGTAGTAACTATCTTTCAAAGACCAGCAGCAGTTCGCAGTGTGGCGTGTGAGGGAACATATCCACAGGTATAGCCACAGTCGGCCTGAAAGCCTCGCCTGTCAGCTTCCTATGTGGGTCGGGACTGCAACACAGCTCCCTGAAGTTCCTCATGGCCTCTCCTTCGGGTTTGCAGGAGATATAGAGCAGCCTGCGGATGGATGAGTGATTCCTTAGAGCCCGGATCACACGATAATGCAGGCCAGCGCGGGCTGGGTTCACCACAGCCGTGAGGGGGCCTCCAGAGTCGGTGGTGGAGCCCAGGACCTCCATGAGCCCAGGAAGGACTACCTCGGCTTTCCCCGGGAGGAACTCACAGTTCTGGATCTGGTTGAGGGCTGCGTTGTGTCTGGCATCTTCCACGGCCTGCTGGATGAGTTCTATCCCGATGACCCTGTCCGCTCTGGGGGACATGGTGATACCGATGGCCCCCGTTCCACAGCACACGTCCAAGAGTGTGCCCCCTCCTCCTCCCTCTCGAGCTCCATTCGGGAGGCCCATCTCTCTCACTGTGCGGTAAAGCAAATCCGCCGCCCCTTGGTTCACCTGGAAGAAGGCGTCTGCTGAGATGCGGAATTTGAACCCCAAAACCTGTGGATGATATACAGTTGAAGTCGGAAGTTTACATACAACTTAGCCAAATACATTTAAACTCAGTATTTTCACAATTCCTGACATTTAATCCTAGTAAAGATTCCCTGTCTTAGGTCAGTTAGGATCACCACTTTATTTTAAGAATGTGAAATGTCAGAATAATAGTAGAGAGAATGATTTATTTCAGCTTTTATTTCTTTCATCACATTCCCAGTGGGTCAGAAGTTTACATACACTCAATTAGTAATTTAGTAGCATTGCCTTTAAATTGTTTAACTTGGGTCAAACGTTTCGGGTAGCCTTCCACAAGCTTCACACAATAAGTTGGGTGAATTTTGTCCCATTCCTCCTGACAGAGCTGGTGTAACTGAGTCAGGTTTGTAGGCCTCCTTGCTCGCACACGCTTTTTCAGTTCTGCCCACAAATGTTCTATAGGATTGAGGTCCACTCCAATACCTTGACTTTGTTGTCCTTAAGCCATTTTGCCACAACTTTGGAAGTATGCTTGTGGTCATTGTCCATTTGGAAGACCCATTTGCGACCAAGCTTTAACTTCCTGACTGATGTCTTGAGATGTTGCTTCAATATATCCACATAATTTTCCTTCCTCATGATGCCATCTATTTTGTGAAGTGCACCAGTCCTTCCTGAAGCAAAGCACCCCCACAGCATGATACTGCCACCCCCGTGCTTCACGGTTGGGATGGTGTTCTTCGACTTGCAAACACCACCTTTTTCCTCCAAACATAACGATGGTCATTATGGCCAAACAGTTCTATTTTTGTTTCATCAGACCAGAGGACATTTCTCCAAAAGGTATGATCTTTGTCCCCATGTGCAGTTGCAAACCGTAGTCTGTCTTTTTTATTGGCGGTTTTGGAGCAGTGGCTTCTTCCTTGCTGAGCGGCCGTTCAGGTTATGTCGATATAGGACTTGTTTTACTGTGGATATATATACTTGTGTACCTGTTTCCTCCAGCATCTTCACAAGGTCCTTTGCTGTTGTTCTGGGATTGATTTGCACTTTTCGCACCAAAGTACGTTAATCTCTATTAGACAGAACGCGTCTCCTTCCTGAGCGGTATGACGGCTGCATGGTCCCATGGTGTTTATACTTGCGTACTATTGTTTGTACTGATAAACGTGGTACCTTCAGGCATTTGGAAATTGCTTCCAATGATGAACCAGACTTGTGGAGGTCTACAATTTATTTTCTGAGGTCTTGGCTGATTTCTTTTGATTTTCCCATGATGTCAAGCAAAGAGGCACTGAGTTTGAAGGTAGGCCTTGAAATACATCCACAGGTACACCTCCAATGATTTGGAAAGGCACACACCTGTCTATATAGAGGTCCCACAGTTGACAGTGCATGTCAGAGCAAAAACCAAGCCATGAGGTCTAAGGAATTGTCCATAGAGCTCCGAGACAGGATTGTGTAGAGGCACAGATCTGGGGAAGGGTTCCAAAACATTTCTGCAGCATTGAAGGTCCGCAAGAACACAGTGGCCTCCATCATTCTTAAATGGAAGAAGTTTGGAACCACAAAGACTCTTCCTAGAGCTGGCCTCCCGGCCAAACTAAGCAATCGGGGGAGAAGGGCCTTGTACAGGGAGGTGACAAAGAACCCGATGGTCACTGACAGAGCTAAGAGTTCCTCTGTGGAGATGGGAGACCCTTCCAGAAGGACAACCATCTCCGCAGCACTCCACCAATCAGGCCTTTATGGTAGAGTAGCCAGACGGAAGCCACTCCTCAGTAAAAGGCACATGACAGCCTGCTTGGAGTTTGCCATAACGCACCTAAAGACTCTCAGACCATGAGAAACAAGATTCTCTGGTCTGATGAAACAAAGATTGTACTCTTTGGCCTGAATGCCAAGCGTCACATCTGGAGGAAACCTGGCACCATCCCTACGGTGAAGCATGGTGGTGGCAGCATCATGCTGTGGGGATGTTTTTCAGCAGCAGGGACTGGGAGACTAGTCAGGATCAAGGGAAAGATAAACGGAGCAAAGTACAGAGAGATCCTTAATGAAAACCTGCTCCAGAGCGCTCAGGACCTCAGACTGGGGCGAAGGTTCACCTTCCAACAGGACAACGACCCTAAGCACACAGCCAAGACAACGCAGGAGTGGCTTCGGGAAAAGTCTCTGACTGTCCTTGAGAAGCTCAGCCAGAGCCCGGACTTGAACCCGATCCAACATTTCTGGAGAGACATGAAAATAGCTGTGCAGCAACGCTCCCCACTCAACCTGACAGATCTGCAGAGAAGAATGGGACAAACTCCCCAAATACAGGTGTGCCAAGCTTGTAGCGTCAAACCCAAGAAGACTCGAGGCTGTAATCGCTGCCAAAGGTGCTTCAACAAAGTACTGAGTATAGGGTCTGAATACTTATGTAAATGTAATATTTCCGTTTTTATTTGTAATACCTTTGCACAAAATTCTAGAAACCTGTTTTTGCTTTGTCAATATGGGGTATTGTGTGTAGATTGATGAGGGGAAAAAACTATTTAAACCATTTTAGAATATGGCTGTAACGTAACAAAATGTGGAAAAAGTCAAGGGGTCTGAATACTTTCCGAATGCACTGTAGACAGGTGTGTGCCTTTCCAAATCATGTCCAATCCATTGAATTAACCACAGGTGGACTCCAATCAAGTTGTAGAAACATCTCAAGGATGATCAATGGAAACAGGATGCACCTGTGCTCAATTTCGAGTCTCATAGCAAAGGGTCTGAATACTTATGTAAATAAGGTATTTGTTTTTTATTTTTAATACATTTGCAAAAAATTCTAAAAACCTGTTTTCACCTTCTCATTATGGGGTATTGTGTGTAGATTGATGAGGGGAAATAATTATTGAATCCATTTTAGAATAAGGCTGTAACGTAACAAAATTTGGAAAAAGGGAAGGGGTCTAAATACTTTCCGAATGCACTGTATATATAAGGGTATCTTAAAGGGATGGTTTACCCAAATTACATATTGGTTTCCTTACGCTGTAAGCAGTCTATGGACAAGGTATGACGACAGCAATCCATGCTTTGGTTTTACTTACATGGCAACTGTTTCCAAATGCTATATTCCAATCAAATGGAAGTCAATGGTATTGATTTTAGCATTTTTTGCGCTTCATGTTCAAATCATTCTAAAGTATGTAAATTGATTGTGTAGCTCAATGAAGTTACTTATAGATGATTTGGACATGAAGCGTGAAAAATGCTAATATCGGTACCATTGACCATTGATTGCCAGTTTACAGAGGAGTACAGACTGCAGTGATATTGTATTGTATTGCATTGTATTCACCTCCTCGTGTATGTGTGGCTGGCCATGCAGCAGCTGGTAGGGGGATTGCTCGTGGCTGCAGCGGGTCATGGAGCTCTCCTGGAAGTACAGGGAGTCTAGTTGGCAGATGGCACCAGGCCCCTGGGTAAAGTACTCCACCAGGCAGGACTTATGGACCTCTATCTCCTCCGGGGTGAGCCTCTGTGGGTGGAAGTAGACGATGGCCATGGTGTGGCCCGCTGCGTTTGTCCTCACTGTCACCTGTGAATGTGTAATAATTTACAGGGTTCATGTGTATACAGCAGTACTGTGTCCAATACAATTTACCCCCCCCCCCGGCAACAATAAAGTTTAGGCCTATCCTATCCCAGCCGTTCTCATCCCGGTCCTCTAGGCCCATCAGCAGTTCTATATATTTGAAGTATTCCAACACAAGCACAGCTGAAAAATCTGTACCAATGGGCTTGTTCGACATTGCAGCCGACATTGCAGGCGACTTCCGACTGACTGACCTACGAAACACCTTGCATCATAAATAAACTACTCATTTTTATTTGTAGATTAGTCAGTCAGTCAGAATTGACCCACAATGCATCACGGATTTGATGCTCTTGAACACAGCTAGGGCTGTGGCAGTCATGACATTTTGTCAGCCAGTGATTGTCAAGCAAATAACTGCCGGTCTAACGGTAATTGACCGTCAATTAACATAAACACATTTAGCATCTCCTGGCTTCCACATAGCCTACAAGCCACTGATGCAGACCTTTGGAACATCTACATTTTAAAAAGTCTAATACATCCATTTAATATAGACTACAACCCTCAAACTCAACTCTGGACCTTAAAGCCAGTTTCATTACTTTTTTTCATCGCTACCCTCTAATCAGGGACTGATTTAGACCTGGGACACCAGGTGTGTGCAATTAATTATCAGGTAGAAGAGAAAACCAGCAGCTCCGGACCTCGTAAGGTAAAGTTGAGTACCCCTGTCCAACACCATCACAATAAAAAATACAACTGAACATAGCTGAATAAAATAGAAAGGATATTTTCTCCAAACGATTTCCAAAGAAGCGTGCACATGCGGTTATTCTGTGTTGAGCGGTTAACAAAGAAACAGGTCCTCCTATATGCTTAATTTAGAGTTATTTATGCAACTTTAGTTGTGGTACAAACGTTGGGCTATATGTTTTGATTTTGGAATACATTCTAAGGCTGCATGATGCGACTCTAATGATGATTTGAAAAAAGTAGCATGAAAGGCATGAGCTCTGCTTAGTTTGTTGTGCAGGCTGCACACACTTCATCAGTCTCTCATTCACAAGCACTTGATAATATTCTCACCAGGCCTCAAATTTCCCCGTGGCATCCCCTTTGTGTGGCCGTAATGCCCCTAAAAACTCCATGCCTTTTGTGGCCAAAGTGGCCGTTCTACGCTTGGGCTGAATATAATAATTATAATTCCCTTCTCTCAGCTGCCGTGCTCCGAAGCACCTCTCACTCACATGGCTCTCTCCGATATCTCAATTCTTATTAGCCAATGCCCGTCACGTGATTGGGTCCTTCTCACAGGCATCTCAGCTAAGAAGTAGGCTACAAGTGAAGACAGACACAATGGGGACACAACTGCGCACGTCCCTCTTATCGAATTCCGAGGCGCATATTGATGATGTTAGAAGAACTGTCCACATTTAGCCTACTTTTTGTCAGCCAACAAGATGAGTATACCTAACGAACACCAAAAGCACTAGCCTATGTCAATCTACTATCCCCTATAGTACAAAAGTTGACCTATTCTATTGGTCAACTTGTCCTTCTGTGAAATAAATAAATATTCCAAACAAACTCTGGGACAGTTGTGGGATGTGATAGATCCCAAATTAATAGAACCACTCGCATCAAAAAAACGTTTAAAGGCAATGAGGCTGATGCAACAGATCAGAACGTTTAGCTTAAAATGTTGATAAACTATTTGATAAACTATTTCTTCACATTATAAGCGCAGCAATAAGCACATGGCAGTAGGCTATAAGCGTGAATGTTCCAAAATGCAATAAATTAGCGTGAAAACACTGTTCTCAAAAGTGACCGCAAATGCGATTATGCATGTAATGCTTTATTATAAAGGTGCATTCTTGGGGTGAAAATTATCTTCCCCAAACTTGAAACTCACATGCCGCCTATGTATGCCAGTTACGCTCTACACGGGTTGTAATGTACTTAATTTTAAGAAGTTATTTGGCCCCTTTAGTTGTGATACAAACCTTATCAAAACATGTAGGACTATGGGCTAGGCTACATGAGGTGTGCAACTATGATTTGAAAAAGTCGTAAAATAAAGGCATGCACTGTTTCTTGCATTACTGCACACGCTGGGCATCATTCACAAGTGATAATACATCATTCACAAGTGATAAGCTAATATTGTCACCCATCATACTATTTTTAATTTAATGTTGTCTTTACATATACTAAATAATGTGTGTGTGAAATTAGTTTTGATTTAGAATGGACCATTATCATGCCCCTGACGGAACAGAGAAAAAAATTAAGTAATCTATGCACTTAAAATCAAATCAATCAAATCAAATAGTCTGGGTAGTCATGATTAGCTGTTTAGGAGTCTTATGGCTTGGGGGTAGAAGCTGTTAAGAAGCCTTTTGGACCTAGACTTGGCACTCCGGTACCGCTTGCCGTGCGGTAGCAGAGAGAACAGTCTATGACTAGGGTGGCTGGAGTCTTTGACCATTTTTAGGGCCTTCCTCTGATAGCGAATGGAGGACGCTTTTCCCGTGGCTCATTTTCTTGCCAGCCAGGTAGGCTATACTCCTGTTGTAAAGCGAAGCAATGTGCTTAGTATATAAATAAATATAGTAGGCCTAGCCTATAGAAAGCTGATTTACATGTTTACATTTTAGTCATTTAGCAGACACTCTTATCCAGAGCGACTTACAGTTAGTGAGTGCATACATTTTTCATACTGGCCCCCCATGGGAATCGAACCCACAACCCTGGCGTTGCAAGCGCCATGTTCTACCAACTGAGCTACAGGAGGCTCCTCTTTTTAATAGAGGCCATCAAAACTGTTCTCACACAATTGCATAGCCTATAGAAATGTTGCGCAACATGAGCTCATGGGCTCTAATGAAGTATTTGATTTGCGAAAACATTTGCATTGATGTCAGAGTGATTAGAGGGACAATAGAGTGCTGAGTACCAGGCAGTTAAGCATCTGTGGTAGGCTACTAATGACTATCAGCAGCATCGGCGCTTGGAGAAGCCTAGTTACCGTGGCTAACTGGTCACGTGGAATTTGACTGCAGTCATGATCGTGACCGCCAGTGTGGCGGTAATATGGTCATCGTAACAGCCCTAAACACAGCCAATCGGCACTTTCGAGTGGATCACTGTTGTCAAGTTGGTGACCATCATTGGTCACCACCTTCCAAAGTGTGTTGCATTCTGGGGATAACATTTTCTGACTTGTGCCTACATGTCAACTGCATGAACTTACGAGGCATGGACTCTACAAGGTGTCGAAAGCATTCCACAGGGATGCTGGCCCATGTTGACTCCAATGCTTCCCACAGTTGTGTCAAGATGGCTGGATGTCCTTTGGGTGGTGGAACAATCTTGATACACACGGGAAACTGTTGAGTGTGAAAAACCCAGCAGCGTTGCAGTTCTTGACACAAACCAGTGCGCCTGGCACCTACTACCGTACCTACAAAAGGCACTTACATATTTTGTCTTGCCCATTCACCCTCTGAATGGCACACAAACACAATCCATGTCTCAATTGTCTCAAGGCTTAAAAATGTTTTTTTAACCCATCTCCTCCCCTTCATCTACACTGATTGAAGTGGATTTAACAAGTGACATCAATAAGGGATCATAGCTATCACCTGGATTCACCTGGTCAGTTTGTCAAAATAAAATAAATGATATGTGTCTAATTTGTATAAATACACTAGTGTATTTGCATATATTAATACATTAACATAAAGGGGAGGAACAGGGCCGCCAAACACTTGCTCTGTCGACCCTACCTGTGGTGTCTAGACTGCCTCATTAATTACTGTTGTCACGTTCTCTTGCATAAATCAACAATTGTGTCAATAGCAGGATACCCTCGGTTAAAATTCTACACGCTTGGCTCTAGATTACATCTATCTAAACATACTTTACATTGTTTGTGAGATCAGACATAATATCACTATGATCTGAGTGTTCATTTTCGGATGTTGCTTTCATTTCAGCGAATTTTTTGTAATTTGTCAACATTTCAACTGTATTAAACGATTACTTTTTTCAATCCCACAAAAAATGAACACCCATCAAAATAAAGTTATCTTTCTTCTCTTTCTTGTGATGTACGTGTTGAGATGGTGCGTTAAATCCCCAACGAAGCTTTAGCATTCTTATCGACTCAATGGAAAGCCAATGTATCCCATTGAGCCCATTTCAGCCATTGACAGGCCATTACAAACATTTCCCCGGTCGTAATATTAAAGGGAAAAATGACAGGCACAAGCAAGAGTATGAAAAAGTCACAGGAGTAAAATTAAAGCAATCAATCCTGTGATATAAAAAAAAAATTTACTTCATATTCATCATCTCCAGCAGCACCCCAACATAAACAGGTGAAAATTGCGCATTTCTAGGTTTTGTAGTAAAAAATATAGAGGAATGACATCGTCGATGTACATCATGTGATTTTAACCAATTATGAGTAGGCTTTGCCTACTAATTGGTTGATTATGTCATTGAAAACACTTATCTTCCACTTTTAACACAAGAAATAGAAACGTGCCATTTTCACAAATGTTGATATTGGGTGGTGCTGGAGATTATGAATATGAAGTTGAACATTTTTTAAATGTCCCTTTAAGTGACAAGTGGATTTGCACCCCTCAAATACAGGAAATACAGTGAAAAATATATATAGACACAACATGCAACAATTTCAAATATTTTACTGAGTTACTGTTCATATATGGAAATCAGTCAATTTTACTGAATTATAGTTCATATAAAGAAATCAGTCAATTAAAATACATTCATTAGGACCTAATCTATGGATTTCACATGACTGGGAATACAGATACCTTTAAAAAAAAAAAAGGTACGGCCGTGGTTTATAAAACCAGTCAGTATCTGGTATGACCATTTGCCTCATGCAGCACGACACATCTCCTTCGCATAGAGTTGATCAGGCTGTTGATTGTGGCCTGTGGAATGTTGTTCCACTCCTCTTCTGTGCAGAGTTGCTAGATATTGGGGGGAACTTGAACACACTGTCGTACACGCCGATCCAGAGCATCCCAAACATGCTCAATGGGTGACATGTCTGGTGAGTATGCAGACCATGGAAGAACTGGGACATTTTCAGCTTCCAGGAATTGTGTACAAACTCTTGCGACATGGGGCCTGCATTATCATGCTAAAACATGAGGTGATGGCAGCGGATGAATGGCACGACAATGAGCCTTAGGATCTCGTCATGGTATCTCTGTGCATTCAAATTGCCATTGATAGAATGCAATTGTGTTCGTTGTCCGTAGCTTATGCCTGCCCATACCATAACCCCACCGCCACCATGGGGCACTCTGTTCACAACGTTGACATCAGCAAACCTCTCGCCCACACAACGCCATACACACGGTCTGCCATCTGCCCGGTACAGTTGAAACCGGGATTAATCTGTGAAGACCACACTTCTCCAGCGTGCCAGTGGCCATTGAAGGTGAGCATTTGCCCACTGAAGTTGGTTACGACGCTGAACTGCAGTCAGTTCAAGACCCTGGTGAGGACGACGAGCATGCAGATCAGCTTCCCTGAGTTTGTGCAGATACTCTTCAGTTATGCAAACTCACAGTTTCATTAGCTCTGGTGGACATTCCTGCAGTCAGCATGCCAATTGCACTCTCCCTCAAAACTTGAACTATGTTGTGTTACAAAACTGCACATTTTAGAGTGGCCTTTTATTGTCCCCAGCACAAGGTGCACCTGTGTAATGATCATGCTGTTTAATCAGCTTCTTGATATGACACACTTGTCAGGTGGATGGATAATCTTGGCAAATGAGAAATGCTCACTAACAGGGATGTAAACGAATGTGCGCACAACATTTAAGAGAAATAAGCTTTTAGTGTGTTTGGAAAAAAATGTGGGATATTTTATTACAGCTCATGAAACATGGGAGCAACACTTTACATGTTGCGTTTATATTTGTGTTCAGTATCGATGGCTGAGAAAGTCCAATCCTCAGGTGGGCGGGGAATGCTCGTTTGTGGTACCATTTGAAAGTTGACATTTTGTACATTTATCAGCCAAAAAGACACCCACCCTGTATTCAAGAACGTTGTGTCTCAACCGATGGCGGGCACAACTCAAAAACCTCAGATTATCTAAAATAGGGTCTAAGCTACAAAATATGTGAATATTTGACGTTTAAGGTAAAGAAATGCCAATTTATATGTATCTAAAAATGATCAAGAACTTATAAAATAGTTTGACAACCCTATTTGTAAGGTTTTAAATTATATCAATCTCAACCGTTTATATTTTCCAGTGATGAAGACATGGAAGTCTCATGGTATGGTGTGGTATGCAAAATAGATCAACTTTGAGCACCTTTATCTTTTTAATGTTTTGGCCTTCAGGTCCAAAAAGTCACTTTCTGAGCACCATTTTTATTTGTAGATCAGTCAGTCAGTCAATTTACCTAAGATACATCACGGTTTTGATGCTCTCAAAAACGGCCATTGCATTGCATCAACCAATGGTTGTGTGCCACTTCATTGACTGCACAGTCGGGCATCAGATTGCTATATCATATGATGTGGTTAGCTGATATGTTAAACACCTATCCAAGTGTTGTGAGATCTGATCAGGCAGGAACGTCACCACTGTTGATTTGAATCAGTTGTGCTGGTGTTAGGATATATCAAATATATGAAATGACTGGTGGGCCCTCTGAACTGGGTTTAGATACTATCCTGTCCTACCTCCCTCCAGTGGCCTCCGTTGTGGAACAGCAGACAGGGATCAAGGGCTGACAGGCGGAGAAAGTCCTGGTAGCACCTGGCCACCAGCTTGTGTCTCTCGGGCATGTTGAGGAGGTGGTCCCCGTTCACACACACAATGTTTCCCGCTTTGCCCGTTCCCACGTAGAACCCCACCGTCTTAGGGTTGCCATCCACCCCACGGTTGACCGAGAAGGTAGACTTGTTGCGGTAGCCGTCCCTGACAGGTGACGGTAAGATAGGTAGCAGAGGGAAGCTGAGTTTGGTACTCCTGGGTGGGGAAGAAGATTGTGTCAAGGCCTTATGTTGGGTCGACTCTCCACATAAGAGTTGATCTGAGAGCTGTAGTAGGATCCTCTCCTGGTGCTTCTGTTTCAGCTGGAGTTGTTCGTCGTAACTCAGCCGCCACAGAGGAGTGACAGAGTCGGCCAGTCTCTCCTCCCAGGGCAGGTGTTCATTTGATGCAGGCTTGTTCCTGAACTTCTTTCTCCATTTCTTCTTTGCTAATTGTGGTGGTTTCCCTGGGTTGGTGGTGGTATCACCATCAGCCTTGGCTGCCGAGCATAGACATGCCTTCACCAGAACATTTACTGGCTTATGTTTTAGTAATGCTGACCTTAAACCTGCTAGTATTAAAAGCATGGCAAAGGGGGGACTATATGACTAAACTATACACAGAAACACACACGTTTTAGTGGCTGTTGTACATACATTGTGATTATTGATCCTTGGACGCCTCCGTTGATCAATTAACGTTAGCTTGAATGAAGCTAAATAACATGTTTTGCCACTTATGTTATAGTACATGTATTTCTGTATTTACAATTTGACAAATAGCCTAGGCAACCGAACAAATAAAAAATGGGTATATCGCAATGTATCACAATTCGCAATTTGAAGCCAACTATGTTAAAATGAATTAGTCACTGACCCTGAACGTATACATGTGCACGGAGATTGAAATTCAATGACGAATTATTTAAGTTCCTGTTTTATTTTACCTTCCCGGTGACGCCATCATAGAGCGACCAGGGGGCAGTAAACAGACTAGTTCCGCTGTCGCGATGGAATCAAACAAGGACGAAGCTGAACGGTGCATAAAGATTTCTATAAGTGCACTCAGTAATAACCAACCAGACAAAGCTACGAGGTTTCTAGAAAAGGCACAGCGTTTGTTTCCAACCGATCAGGCCAAAAGTACGTTGATTATCTATTGTTATGCGTGCAGTATTTTCTATCAGTTGGTGGTGTGGCCAAAGTACAATCAGAACCAAATCTTCTAACTTTAGCTAGCATGACATCGACCTCCGTTTTTGGAGAGGTGGTACTTGTAGTTACTTTTATTATCAACAACTCATCTTTGTAATGGCATGTTGATTTATTTCTCATGTTAATGAGAAACATCCACATGAGATAGCTAACGTTAGATAGCAGGCTTGTTGTTAGCTTGCTAGCCAACCCATACCCAGCCCACCCTAAGGCGCTTGCATTACAGTACATGAATGGCCAAGTTATCTAACTAGCTAGTAACTACTTCCCTAGCTTTCTTGCTTGTGGTATGCTGACACAGGTGGCACTGGTGGTAGCTATACCACCAACATTGCTGTAACGTTACATAGTTGCAAAATAGTGTAGGAGATAAAATGTAGGCCTTACTGTACTGTGATGCACGTCTGACATTTGCCTTAGTTATGGGGAGAGAAGTGTAAGTTATATGGCTGCAGTGACATGCCAACGTTATCACTTATCATCGTCATCTGCAGCTGTCTCTTAACCTATTCCTATCCACCCAGGTTTACTAGAGTCCATCAAACAGAATAGGAAACCACCAGATGAAGAAGAGAGGCCTATGAACGGGGATGGTTTTGGAGTGAGACACCGTAGCCACGGAGACGAAGCCGCAGACTCAGCCAAACCATACACATCAGATCAGCTGGATGCTGTTAAAAAGTATGTCTGTGTAGTTATTATGTTTAACAGAGCCAGAAGGAGTTCCCCCTAACCGCTGGTCCAGGATTTGGTATTTGTTTATCATCTCTAATGGTTAAGGTTTGGAATCAGGATTGGGGTTGATTAAATTATCCTAGATCTGTGTTTAAGGGGAACATCTACTTTGTATACATTGACAATTATAACCTCTATCTAAAATATGTTTTAACAGGCCTACTTTAGAATGATTTAGACAACCTGAGATACTGCTACATGGTTCATTGTTTGTTTTCTTGCTCATTGCTCGACTAATTGGTTTGCTTCACTGAATTGTTTACTTTCTCTGTGCTTCTCTTATGTAATGTGTGTAGAATAAAGAGTTGTAAAGACTACTATGAGATTCTGGGAGTTGAAAAGGATGCCGGGGAGGAGGACCTGAAGAAGTCCTACAGGAAACTGGCCCTGAAATTCCACCCCGATAAAAACCATGCTCCAGGAGCCACAGAGGCGTTTAAAGGTAACCTCTCTTTTGGCAGTTGAAATTTCACCACTTGCTAATAAGTGCAGAATGTCATATCTGAAGTATACCATCATGGCAAAGTATGTTTAAAAGCTTAACTGAAGTTACTGTGTGTTTTTTGTGTTCCCCAGCCATTGGCAATGCGTACGCTGTGCTCAGTAACACAGAGAAGCGGAGCCAGTATGACCAGTATGGTGAGGAGAGAGCTCACCCTACCAGACAACAGCAAAGGCACCAGCGCCATGACTTCGAAGCCGACATCTCGCCCGAGGACCTCTTCAACATGTTCTTTGGAGGAGGTTTCCCATCACGTGAGTTGGGTCGTATTATTCATTGGGCACCAAACTGAAAAAAACGGACTGAAACAGGGAGGGACTTCTTGAATTTCCCCAATAAGAAAAGCACATTTTTGTTTTCCGTGGCAAAATATTTTGAAACATTATTGGTTGCATGCCCTAAAGAACACAATCTTGGTTGTGGACAAAAAGGTGGTCTAAATGATGTTCTGCTGGCCTGGATGTTTGGATGCTGGCCTGGATGTTTGTTGTTCTATACTGTATGTTCTGCTCTCTTCCAGGTAATGTACATGTTTACAGAAACGGAGGAATGCACTTTGGCCATCAGCATAGAGCAGGACCAGAGAGGAGAGAACAGCGGGATGTAAGTGAAATCTGTAGACTCCTTTTTGTTGATCAATGGACCCTTTTCCTCACTTCATGACAGAATGAAATGTGCTGACCATGACGATAGTCAAACTTATACAGTGTTTAGTTATCTATCTTATTCTGTGATGTGTGTGCTGAATTCCAAATGGACACCTAAACCTTATCCCTAGAGACTGTGTAGATCTGACAGATAGAGCTGAGGTTCTCAGAAAGCTCAGAGAGCACTTTGGACAGCGTAAACCAGTGAGGAAACGGGGGAAAGTGAGTGAAATCTGTAAATTATGTAGGTAGTTAATCCATTTATTTATAATTTCTTCAAGGTAGAAAGTAGGTTGTTGTGCTCTGAAAATCTAAATGTTGACCACGCTAATAGTCAGACCTAGATATTGTGCCTTTATTCTGTGATGTAGAGTGCCTTCGGAAAGTATTCAGACCCCTTGACCTTTTCCACATTTTGTTACGTTACAGCCTTATTCTGAAATGGATTAAATCGTTTTTTTCCCCTCATCAATCTACACACGATAACACATAATGACAAAGCAATAACAGGTTTTTAGAAAATGTAAATTTTTTATAAATAGAAAACTGAAATATCACATTTACATAATTATTCAGACCCTTTACTCAGTACTTTGTTGAAGCACTTTTGGCAGCGATTACAGCCTTGAGTCTTCTTGGGTATGACGCTAAAAGCTTGGCACACCTGTATTTGGGGAGTTTCTCCCATTCTTCTCTGCAGATTCTCTCAAGCTCTGTCAGGTTGGATGGGGAGCGTTGCTGCACAGATATTTTCAGGTCTCTCCAGAGATGTTCGATCGGGATCAAGTCCGGGCTCTGGCTGGGCCACTCAAGGACATTCAGAGACTTGTCCCGAAGCCACTGCTGCGTTGTCTTGGCCATGTGCTTAGGGTCGTTGTCCTGTTGGAAGGTGAACCTTTGCCCCAGTCTGAGGTCCTGAACGTTCTGGAGCAGGTTTTCATCAAGGATCTCTCTGTACTTTGGTCCGTTCATCTTTCCTTCGATCCTGAGTAGTCTCCCTGTTCCTGCCGCTGAAAAACATCCCCACAGCATGATGCTGCCACCACCATGCTTCTTTGCCTCGATCCTGACTAGTCTCCCTGCCGCTGAAAAATATCCCCACAGCATGATGCCGCCACCACCTTCTCCTACCTATAAAGCATGGTGGAGGCAGCATCATGCTGTGGGGATGTTTTTCAGCGGCAGAGACTGGGAGACTAGTCAGTATCGAGGCAAAGATGAACAGAGCAAAGTACAGAGAGATCCTTGATGAAAACCTGCTCCAGAGCGCTCAGGACATCAGACTGGGGCGAAGGTTCACCTTCCAACAGGACAACGCCAGGTTTCCTCCAGACGTGACGCTTGGCATTCAGGCCAAAGAGTTCAAACTTGGTTTCATCAGACCAGAGAATCTTGTTTCCCATGGTCTGAGAGTCTTTAGTAGCCTTCTGGCAAACTCCAAGCAGGCTGTCATGTGCTTTTTACTGAGGAGTGGCTTCCATCTGGGCACTGTACCATAAAGGCCTGATTGGTGGAGTGCTGCAGAGATGGTTGTCCTTCTGGAAGGTTCTCCCATCACCACAGAGGTGCTCTGTCAGAGTGACCATCGGGTTCTTGGTCACCTCCCTGACCAAGGCCCTTCTCCCCTGATTGCTCAGTTTGGCCGGGCGGTCAGCTCTAGGAAGAGTCTTGGTGGTTCCAGTCTTCTTCCATTTTAAGAATGATGGAGGCCTCTGTGTTCTTGGGGACCTTCAATGCTGCAGAAATATTTTGGTACCCTTCCCCAGATCTGTGCCTCGACACAATCCTGTCTCGAAGCTCTACGGACAATTCCTTCGACCTCATGGCTTGGTTTTTGCTCTGACATGCACTGTCAACAGTGGGACCTTATATACATTTACATTTCCAGAGCGACTTACAGTTAGTGAGTGCATAATTATTTTTTTCTTCATATAGACACGTGTGTGCCTTTCCAAATCATGTCCAATCAATTGAATTTATCACAGGTGGACGCCAATCAAGTTGTAGAAACATCTCAAGGATGATCAGTGGAAACAGGATGCACCTGAGCTCAATTTTGAGTCTATTAGCAAACGGTCTGAGTACTTATGTAAATAAGGTATTTCTGTTTTTTTATTTTTAATACATTTGCGAACATTTCTATAAACCTGTTTTCGCTTTGTCATTATGGGGTATTGCGTGTAGATTGCTGAATGTATTGCATGTGTTTAATCAATTTTAGAATAAGGCTGTAACTTAACAAAGAGGAAAAAGTCAAGGGGTCTGAATACAGTCCGAAGGCACTGTATGTGCTGAATACTAAATCGACCCCTGACCCCTATCCCTAGAGACTTCCTGTATATCCGAAAGCAATTGTTATGGTTCCATCTTACCCTCTGTCAGGCAGGTTGAGGTTCTGCCAATCCTTTCAGATCTGCATAAAGTAGGGGCTAGGAGTCCGTTTTGAATTCACCTGAGGAGTGCTTGAGCAGGGTTGACTCTTATCTCACTCTCTTTCTCTCTCTGTATCGCTCTCTTTCTCTCCCCCTATAGGGAGGCTTTGCCCTGTTTGTCCAGCTGATGCCCATCCTCATCCTAATCTTCGTCTCCGCCCTCAGCCAGATGATGGTGACCCCTCCCCCCTACAGCCTTAGCCACCGCTCGTGAGTCTCAATGTCCTCCTTTACGCACTAACACTTCTACCACTCACTTATAAAATAGTTATACAAACTTCTATACAGCTCTGCTACTTACTTATAATAGCAGTGTTTGACAGACGTGCATCATTTTCAGCTTGTGGTCACAGCTTCAGAATAGATTAAACGTTGGTTTTGTCACAAGGAAATCTGAAAGGCTTTAATTGGGTCAGTGTAAAAAATAATATTGATGAACAACCTCTAAAGCATCTCTGGTTATCACTTTATCACATATCATTTATTACATCTGAGGGTATCAGTTGTTACAACATGGAATTATACATGTTTAGTCTATCTTGTGCTCGTAATGGACCTGTGTGTCAAGATTTTGATTGTATGACTTAATTTGCCCTTTTTTTCTTGTAATTCTTTATGACGTGATGTTACTTACGAAGTTGAACCACCCTGTTTGTCACACTCTCACATCCTGTTTTATCACTTCCTGTGCTGCGCTGCAGAGGTGCGGGCCACATCAACCGGAGGCAGACACAGACCCTGAAGGTGTCTTACTACGTAGGACCTAGCTTCACCAAGGAGTACTCTGGAAAAGACCTAAGGAGTGTGGAGAGGAGTGTGGAGGAAGACTACATCTCCAACCTCAGGAACAACTGCTGGAAGGAGAAGCAACAGAGTAAGTCACAGCCCAACGTTAACACAACGCACATGCAAAGTTTGTACCCTTTTCACACTGTCATGCCATTCTGTACTTTACTGTACTGGCTTGGCTATTTTCCTCTCACATTGTCCAGCATTCCAACAACTACTAACCAGGCCAGGCCGATGCAGTGAAGTTATGCTAAAGTTTGCTATTTTTTATAATGTGCATAATTATATTTTTCAATATATTGGATACATTTTTGTGTGTTTTTGTCTTCCAGAGGAAGGCTTGCTGTACCGTGCTCGTTATTTCGGAGACTCTGACTTGTACCAAAGGGCTCAGCGGATGGGCACGCCTAGCTGCTCACGACTGTCGGAGATTCAGGTCATGCTACATGGATAAGAACCCACAAACAAACAGAATGGTAAATTTGATATCAATATCAATTGATACTGTTTTGACTTTGATATTGTTTGATATCAGTTTGATATGCAAAGCATATCTTGATATTGGTTTATCCTTTCTGCTAACCTACGCTATTATGTAAAAAAAAGCATACATGACTGTTCCTGCATGCACAAAACCCTCTTGCAGATGTTCTCACATGCTCTCAACTTAGCATACTTAATTGCCAGGACTTTACAGAGCTGTGGAAGTGAAACGAAAAGTGAACCTTTACACAGTTTCAATGTTTTGTATTAAACCAATGTATACTTCTTTTTTTTTACTGATATAGATTTTCCATTATCGATGCCCATGATTAATCGTTATCCTATTTGATATGTGCTTGCATGACTTGCTGCCTGTCTACTCTGATTTAAACCTCGATCTCAAAGGTTTTGTTATTGGAGATCCATTTGATGTTTTATTAATTGCTCCATACTTATTTCTTCCTCTCAGATTATTTGGTACTTGAATCGAATGAGAAGAAATCAATATACAACGCCCTATTCAAGCTCACACATAAAAATTGGAGCAGCAATTTGAGAGAAACTGCCTTAGATCCATATGGTGGGTTGCAGACAGATATGGCCTGTCGGGGGGGACCCCTCTCTCTCTGCACACTCCTGTGGACAGTCTTAACTTCCTGTAGAACTGTGAAACAAACGGACAAGGTGATGGCTGGTTTAAATACAAAAACACTTCAAGGCTGGCTGAACTAGACGGGTGTCATGGTTTTTTGAAAGAGATTAAATATATTTTTGAATGGTACATTGCCTTCAGAAAGTATTCACACCCCTTGACTTTTTCACATTTTGTTGTGTTACAGCCTGAATTAAAAATTGATTAAATTGATTTTTTTGTTTGGGGCAAATCCAATACAACACATTACTGAGTACCACTCTCCATATTTTCAAGCATAGTGGTGGCTGCATCATGTTATGAGTATGCTTGTAATCGTTGAGGACTGGGGAGTTTTTTTGGATAAAAAAGAAATGGAATTGAGATAAGCACAGGCAAAATCCTAGTGGGAAACCTGGTTCAGTCTTCTTTCCACCAGACACTGGGAGATTAATTCACCTTTCAGCAGGACAATAACCTAAAACACAAGGCCAAATCGACACTGGAGTTGCTTACCAAAAAGACAGTTAATGTTCCTGAGTGGTCAAGTTACAGTTTTCACTTAAACCTGCTTGGACATCTTTGGCAAGACTTGAAAATGGTTGTCTAGCAATGATCAACAACCAATTTGACAGAGCTTGAAGAATTTAAAAAATAATAATGGGCAAATATTGTACAATCCAGGTATGCAAAGCTCTTAGAGACTTAACCAGAAAGACTCACAGCTGTAATTGCTGCCAAAGGTGATTCTAACATGTATTGACTCAGGGGTGTGAATACTTATTTCATTTTCAATAAATGTAAAACATTTCTAAAAACATGTTTTCACTTTCATTATGGGGTATTGTGTTTAGATGGGTGAGAGAGAGAAATTGATTGAATCAATTTTGAATTCAGGCTGTAACACAACAAAATGTGGAACAAGTCGAGGGGTGTGCGTACTTTCTGAAGGCTCTGCATACTGCTAAAGCTGCTAAAATAAAGCTTCCTTCCTCCTTTTCCCTATTATGTTTTGATCAATATTTTAAAGAACCAACTCAAGGCCTTCTGTTTAGACATCTGAACCAATAATACAAAATAAAAAAAGTAATTTTTATAGTTCATACTTGTATATACTATACATCGTATTTTTAACAACACAGGTTAGATGGCTTTAAGAAGCTAATGTCATTTATTCTATAATTTAATGTACCCTGTGGATTTGCTTGTAGCCCATTGGATTATGGAGATGAGTATTGAAAATGATTGCACAAATGAAAATCTGTATTTATTCAAATTAAACACAAATTGGTGTCTTCCTTTTATAGTCACAATTATGACCTAATGTGGTGCCACTGAAATATTACAGAGACTAATATTTGATCCATTAACAACATACTTCACATGGATATTTAATTTGAAAAATAATGTATTTAGGTCTTCAGTTTTAAGTTCTTGAAGGAAAGTACAAAAAGCAGTACAGGTTAACATAAATAGACGGTCTAATCAAATGCATGGTTTAAAAACAGCAGTTTTGCATTGTAATGCCCATATCACATGTCAATTAATGTGGAAAACTGCCATTAACAAGATATATATAGTATGTGTTCCCTAGAAAACATTCAATAAATGTTTGGTTTAAGAATAAAACCATTTTTAGGTTCATTTGATGCATAGTAAACATTGTTGCACAATATTTTCTTGCCCCACTATGGGAATAAAAAGAGTATCCACTTCAGAGTTTGGCTATGGAATGTCCTTCCACACCCTCAAAAGTGGAATGAGTTTTCTTTAGGTTCATTGGTGACCACATTGGTACAGTATATCTGAATTCACTTCAGCTATCACACAGAGGAATACACGGCTTCTCTCACTTCAGCTGTCCTGAGTCCAGAGCTATACATATTAGACAATACATATTAGACCAGAGTCAAAGTATTTAGGTGTGCTTGATTTGCACTTTTGGGACCATTATATCGGTTCCATTGTACCGGGCATACCAAACAAAGCACAGATATGTATTATTAGACCCAAGTCTGATACATCTACTACAAACACCTATAGCTCTGGCCAGGTCAGCACTCTTCAATGAGCAGCTCTCCTGAACTATACAGCTTTCTTTTGATAGCTCTGAACCTGGTACTGAGCCTGAGAGTGTGTGTGTGTCTCCCACTCTGCCTCTGGGGGGACCCATTCCCCCGGGCCCTAAAGAGCCTCTGCAACTTGGGCCACAACTCCCCCACCACTGGCCGTAACACCATGGTGAGATGGAAAGTAGGAACCAGGTTAGGGTCAACGGTTATCTGCTCCACACTACACAGTCGTCCCCCAAATTCACCTTGTGGTCCCCCTGCTCCACACACAGGTCAACGAGCGCCCCCTTCAGGCTGCAAGGCTCACTAGGCGCCAGATGGAGCAGCTCCTGGCCAATGTTGGGCAGGAGAAGATCTGGTAGGACAAGTTTGGAATAGTGCAGGACAGTGTGTGTGGCATCAGAGAGGCTCTTGACAATGGGCTCTACAATCTGGGCACAGAGAGACTCCTCCAGTGGGCTGTAGAAGAGACCACAGTCGGATTCTGATACCATGGACATGTCAGTGACTGATCCTGAACAGAGAAGAAAACAATAGGGTTACTTTTAATTCATTGTACAGTGCTGTTACAATCGAACTTGGGATCAATTTCAAAATGACATTTCAAATTAAGCCTATGGATAAGCAACTATAGGAAAACGACATGCAAATATTTTAGGCAAAAGTGTTATGCTTTTTAGATCTATTTTGGAATCAATATTGGACTGACTATTGCTGCATAGCTTTTGTGTGATACATTGGGTCCTTGATGAAGGGCCAGTGCTATACGGGATTATTGGGACGTCCCTACCCTAACCCCTTAACCTTGACCATAACACTGTGCACCATAACACCCTAGCACTGTGCCCAACCCCCTCTCAAATTTACTATCAAGCCCCAAATAACCCACGGGTTCACAAAGATAGTCTCGGCTATCCCCACGACAACCCTTGAAAGTCACACAATTTTGTATTTTTCAGGGGAGAAAATGACAGTGGGGAACAGTGCATGCATGCACTGTATTCCTATGTCATGACTCTATAACAGTAAACATTTCCAGTTTTGGGGAGAAGTGAACTACTGGTAATTAACGTACATATTGCAGTAGCTTGGTGCTAGTTTAACTAAATTCAAATCGAGGTAGTGTTTTCAGTAGATCATTACTTTTTGACATGTAGCGGTGTAGCTACTGGAACTACACACTACTTTTTTTGCAAAAATAAAATATGGGTGAAGTAGGCAATTGCCAAATGTTCTTTATTTTTGGCATCAGACCTGCCTAATTATTATGGAATTATTTTTGTTTCATTAATATCAAGCAAAACTTCTGAAGTCAAGAACAAAATTCTGAGTATTGAGAGCAAAAATAATAATATTGCAAGCAAAACATACACAATTATTATATTAAAATGCGAGAACAAATGTATTGTAAATGATTGCAAAAACATAGTTTTCAGGGAAACATTTTCAATGATAGCTCGATTGTGATGAAACGCCTCCACCTCCATTAGTTTTTTTGCTTTTGTAAGTTTTGGCACATTCATTCCAGCAGCATAGTACCCTGCATCCCACTGCTGGTTTGCCTCTGAAGCTAAGCAGGGTTGGTCCTGGTTGGTCCCTGGATGGGAGACCAGATGTTGCTGGAAGTGGTGTTGGAGTGCAAGTAAGGGGGCATTTTTCCTTCTGGTCTTAAGATCACATCCCAATGCTCCAGGGCAGTGATGGGGCCATTACCTACCCTGTGTAGGGTGCCATCTTTGGATGTTAAATGTAAGACTAGGGGTGTTAACCCCAGTGTCCTGGCTAAATTACCAACCAACCCCATCACTCCTAATTGGCATAGATCACTACACAGCATACCATAATGTTCTGAATAATGGCCAAGTCTACCTCGCTCCTTTTTCGACTGAATCGCTTGGGAGTAACAAACACAAGTCCAACACTTATCGGAAACTGCTAAGCTACCTGTTCACTGCTCTCCGGGGATGTGCACCTCAACCCTGGGCCTAACACCACCAAGCCTGCGATACGCACAGAGTGGATGGCCGCTTCCTCAAATCATCGCTGAGTTGGGTGAGTGTTATGGTCCCATGATTTCTCTCGAGTCACCTGGCTCCAAGATGAAATTTGACTCTCCAAACATATCCAAGTCACTATACGCGATCCCCGACTCTGCTTCTGGCATGCAAAATGTTTTAATAGACCCCTTTCTGTGTTTGCAAACATTGCCGCACAAGAGCGATGCACGCAAGTTGGTGGCAGAACAAGGAGTTCTTATAGAACGCCAGCAAATACAGCCTCTATTTACATGTTGCTTATGAGTGCATTTCACACTACTTTTGGATTATAATTGGATTTTAAGGCTTGTATGAATGTCCTGCTTAAAATCATGTTTGTGTCATCATCGCAAATCAACTGCATTATACTTAAAAAACACTTAAACTTCAATCAGTAAAATGGCTCTTTGGCTAGCTTTTGCTACAGCCTATATCAATGAGCCTTAGCGTTCTAGCTAACATCCATAATACTGTAGTTATTTTGCAAAGATCACAACCAAATATAATATTTGTGACTGTTCAAGCAAGAATCAAAACATGTAAGAGTATGAGATTGATCTGAGGGGTATTCCAGAAAGATGGTTTAACAAATTCAGGATTTCCTGAACATATCCGGCTTGTCTTAACCATATGAGGGAGTCCAGGACTTCTTGGTTCCAAAACGGCTGCTTCTAGTTTAAGTTATTAGGCTAAGCGAAGCGCAGATTGGTTGATCTGACAACTGGCGCATGCACTTAACATTCAAAAAGATCCTAATGTCGAAGACAGAAAAAACAATAGATATGGAGTCAGAAGACAGAGCCCAATATTTAACTAGAACAAGAAACAATTGTAACACTAAACAACGAATATGTTCACATATTTACAAAAAAAAAAGTTATACATCCGCCACCGCAAAAGCCAGAGAGGAAGCCTGGCAGAAAATTGCAGACAGAGTAGATGCGCAAGTGAATTGGCATGATTCCAATATCTAATAGGCAGTGGTGACCTGTCATTCAGGGAAGGTGGGGCAGAACCCCACCTGCTTTGAGCCCCACCTGTTAAAAAATTATAATAATAAAGTTTGCCTGTCGTGCATGTAATTCTGGCATTAATTAGTGTCACATATCAGTCTAGCAAACAATGTAAAAACACATTCCTTGAATTAATAAAGCAGCATACAAACTTGGTCTCTTTCTTTGAGTAAGGCAGCTCCAAAATGCAGCTGTTTCAGCCTAGCTCAGTGCTTTCCGGTGGAGGGGCAGCCAGCGAAAGCACAGAGCATAGGCGTTGTTAATCTTCTCTGGTTGTGCCGTGATTGGCTCAGGGTTCTGTCACTCATGGGGACACTACGTCACCGCAGAATCTATTGGAGAGCTAGGCAGTTCAAGCCCCCCTTGGGTGCTGCCATAGATTTACAGTAGAAGTGATCATCCGAGAAGGTACAAGGTCATTGGCCACAGATAAAATTACGTCAGATCACGTTATATCTCCCATAGCTTTGATTTGACTGATCATGTCAACATCATACTTTTAAAATCTTAGTTAGCAAGCTAGCTAGGTAGATAAGCAGTCATCATCATGAATCATGTCGACAAGCTACTGGCAAATCCTTTTCAATCCTTGTCATATGAAGAGAAATTAGAGATAAAACGTCTCAGTGCTCATCGGCCATTGGACATAAACATTACACAACAAGTCGGAAATCTCAAATTCAACAATGAGTGGTTTGGATGGAAGCAGTGGCTAACTGCTAGTGTTGCAAAGCAATCACTATTTTGCTTCCCCTGCCTGCTATTCAGTGGAGATGGTGTGTGGTCCAAGTCTGGGTTCAAGGATTTGAAGCATCTGTCTGAAAGGGTCTCAAAACATGAGAATTGTGCATCACATGTAGACAACGCTGTTAAACTCAGATTACTAGAGAAGTCAAACATTGTGGCTCAGCTAGACACCGCATATAGACGAGCCATGACCTTCACAACCAACAAACAGAGGAGAATAGGATTGTGCTTGCCAGAATTATAGCATGCATTAAATTGTGTGGCAATTGTGAGACAGCACTGTGGGGCCATGACTAGTCAGCCGACTCCTGCCCAGGGGCATTTTCAGGTGTAATTTTGAGACCATGCGTGAAGGAGATTACAGGCCACAAAGGCAGTATGACATATGAGGACCAACACCTTAAGGGTACATGAAGCACAATCCAAAAGGAACATCCTTAAAAGGATAAAAACCTTCACACACACACAACACCATGGGCCACAAAAGGTTGAATGCATTGGCCATGCTGTCATCCAGCATGACTTTAAATTCATCCAAAGAATGCCAGACTTTGATGACAAAGTACTAAATGAGAAGTTTGCCCACAAGAAGGACCTTCCTTCCTTCCTGTTCAAGTGAGTACAGCACAACAACGGTGAGTCCAAAAATATTTATTGTATGCTGCTGCATAAGTGATGTAATATGCCAGGGGGATATGTATACTGTAGCTAAAAAAGTAACACTAAGTGCATGTTGTGTAGTAAGCTGTCAGTAGCCTGAGTCTCACCCTAAGAATGTGGTCCCTCTCCCTCTCTGAACTTAGCCTACTGTTCTAACTTGATGGTGCACATGAAGCATATAGCCTGTTTTAGAGAAATGTCATAATCGAATATTGTAAGAGCTTTCATTGTCTGCTTATGTGCCCCCGTTATTTAGCCGACGTACAGGGAGAATACTGTCGCTGTCCATTTCAAAAGTGCTGAATGAATAGGCAGCATATACAGTGGGGGAAAAAAGTATTTAGTCAGCCACCAATTGTGCAAGTTCTCCCACTTAAAAAGATGAGAGAGGCCTGTAATTTTCATCATAGGTACACGTCAACTATGACAGACAAATTGAGAACATTTTTTCCAGAAAATCACATTGTAGGATTTTTAATGAATTTATTTGCAAATTATGGTGGAAAATAAACAAACAAGCAAGATTTCTGGCTCTCACAGACCTGTAGCTTATTCTTTAAGAGGCTCCTCTGTCCTCCACTCGTTACCTGTATTAATGGCACCTGTTTGAACTTGTTATCAGTATAAAAGACACCTGTCCACAACCTCAAACAGTCACACTCCAAACTACACTATGGCAAGACCAAAGAGCTGTCAAAGGACACCAGAAACAAAATTGTAGACCTGCACCAGGCTGGGAAGACTGAATCTGCAATAGGTAAGCAGCTTGGTTTGAAGAAATCAACTGTGGGAGCAGTCATTAGGAAATGGAAGACATACAAGACCACTGATAATCTCCCTCGATCTGGGGCTCCACGCAAGATCTCACCCCGTGGGGTCAAAATGATCACAAGAACGGTGAGCAAAAATCCCAGAACCACACGGGGGGACCTAGTGAATGACCTGCAGAGAGCTGGGACCAAAGTAACAAAGCCTACCATCAGTAACACACTACGCCGCCAGGGACTCAAATCCTGCAGTGCCAGACGTGTCCCCCTGCTTAAGCCAGTACATGTCCA